CTACGCTCGCAGCATTTTTAGCCAATCGGAATTCAGGTGATATTCCGTTACGGACGGCGTCTTGCTCCAATTGACTAGCCGAGCGCCGCCGCTACGCGGCGGTAAGTTTAGGTTAGTCGTAGTAGTGAGGGCCGCCCACCTCCACTTCGCTCCGGTGGGCTGTTTTCCAGTCAAATGTCATTAATTTGGATTGTATGCACGTAAGAAGGTGTTTGTATGTTGGGAGTACTCTTACTATGGTTAAAAGTGGCTGGTATCAGCTTCATCACGTCAGTGTTACCATAAGTAGATGCACTTGCAAGATAATATATTTTCTATCGCACGGTACTGTGTTGTAAACCATGTCCAACATCGTCGCAGGTATTCAACCCAAACTACAAAGTATCTGCATTTAGAACGGCTCGTGTTTAGTGTGCTCTCATAAGTCTGTATACGTGTTATTTTACCAAGTGTATCACTCTGCCATGATTTCTGTTAGTTGGTCCAAGAGTATAGCCTTTACATTCTGTATCAAGGCTATAAGCCTAAATAACAATTCACGCTTCGCAATACCTCTCCTTAGCATATCGTTAGTGCTTCGTTCTTATTAAAACATCGTGAACATATACATATCGGGATCGTTTCGGCATTTGTATGATCCATAAATGTATTCAACTTCGGGCTGCGATAATGTGGCCTCATCAAAACTTATTTTTATTTAAGTATTAGTCTAAGCGGAGTACATTAGCACATTAGCGCACCACCTGCACCACAGCCGCTAAGACATTAAAAGTAACAACTTTGCATTTCGTATCTATGAAGTACACGTTACACTATGCAAGTTCCGTTTCCAGCGTTTAGCATACAGGTAGAGCGCGTCCAAGGTTATCTATCATAGAACTCCAGCTCATTGAATGTCAGCGTCTACTATTCAGATCTCATTATACTACATACCGACGCATAACATAAGCTATCGATGCATGAACCACTTTTAACCTTTAGCCTGTATCCCGATCTCCAATGCCATACAGAGAACGGAACGGAGTTCAGGTTCAGCATGGCGCGGTAGAAAGAATAAATACCAGCGTAGTGTAAGTAACCTAAATACACCTTATTCACACACACATGAACCCCTTTTAGCAATAGCAGATACTTCGAAGGATGTTTATCACGTTGAGAGCCAAGTACGCGGTAGTTGTAGTTAATTTGTCCCTGTAGTTTTACTATAGTGAAATAAGCTCGGCTCCTTGTTAATACTTAACCACCTTCAGCTCACCTTGCGCTACATGTACTCGCACTGCTACCACTTACAACGTTGCTGCTATCACTTACTACGTACTCCTATCACTTTCTGCGTGCTGCTATCGCTAACTATACGTGCATGCCGCTCACTACGTGCTGCTTGCGCTTAACTATGCGCTCCTGTCGCTGACTACGTGCTGCTATGGCTAACTATACGTGCATGCCGCTGACTGCGTGCTGCTATAACTAACTATGCGCTGCTATGGCTTACAATGTGTTTATATGAACCAAACTCGCTACCTTACTATTATACTTAGTAGTAGGGCAGGCCCAGCTACCTATCGCTTTGCTATAACGCGGTGATCCGAACGGGGGTGATCTTATCGCCCCCGTTCCGCTCGCCTCGTCGGCTCGCTGCACTACTCTCAATGTTAGATTAGTACTACAGAGGCCGGGGCGGCCCGCAATATCGTATGGTGAGGTCGCCTTCGGCGACGGCCGCTGCGCTCGGCAGCTACTCGTACTTAGTGAATAAGCGTGACGATTTTGTGACGGACGGACAGCGCGTCTTTCTGATTGATTCTTAGGATGTTCTCTCAGCTCTTAAGCTGAGAGCACAGGGTGTTCGCAGAGTCGGTTCGCCAAATTTGTGAATGTTTTTTATGAAAGAAACACTGCGTTTCACTATGGTCGCGATCGGAGCGCTTCATTTAGCTTCACTATGCTTTTCGCAATTTCTAACGTAAAACACACCTGTGTGCAAGCACACCACACCGCGCTCACTTGCCCCCGCTATACTTGGCGACTCGCATGGGACAGCGAAAAAAAATCTGCGACAGAATTTAGAAACGTAGACTCGTGTCAACATTTCCCAGGTTAGGTACTCGATACTTTTGCCTACTTGAACAGGCAACAACGGTACTCTCCCGCTCAAGTTCATGCGCTCCGCACTCAACATACCGAAAATAAACTTCAACGGTGACGTACGGTCGCGGAAACTTCCCTACTTAAGTTGCGTTGCCGACCCGTCAGCGGCCAATCAAAGGAGAACGCAAATATGGATTCCGGGCTCACTTGAGCTAACTATGCTTTAAAAAGGTGAGCCCATCCAAATAGAAATAAAGCCATGCGACTGCGCGGAAAGCCAGCAGGTTTCCCTACTTTCGTTACGGCGACCCCTCAGAGCTGTCACCGGGTGACAGTTTCAGGGCGCCCCTTCGAGTAAAAAACATCCGTGTCTTGGTTTGAGTATGCGCGGGTGGTGTTTTTACTCAGCCAATCAAAGTTGTTGCATGTGCGCAATACCGGCGCCTCTTCTTTCGCTCAGGGTGCTGTTTTATTCCGAGAGTGCTGCGCGCAGCGCTCCATGCTTCTTCCACTGGTGCGACAGTCTTTCAAAACCGTGCGAATTCGGTGCGAATCGTATTTAACCGAGAACAGGTGAGCTCGTCGTTTGCACCGCCAATTCCGCTATGCTTCGCTTCGCTCATGGCGGGCAAGGCGTCGGTAAAAAGATAGTAACTACTTCGCAGTGCAACTACTCCGGCCTACGCGCCGACCATTGCAGACCTCCGCAACGCTCCGGTTGCAAACGGTCTCTCTAAGGCCTCATATGACATATGCTAGGTTGGAGTTTCGCACCAGTCGAAAGAAGTCTTTCTTCGCGCTCACGACCAGAATAGAACGGCAGCGGCTCGCTGTATGGGCAAGTGATGTCTTTATTTGACCGAGCGAAGCACGGGCTGCATGAGCGCCGAAATAATGCATCTTGAGCAGGAGCGCAAGACATAGAAGCAAGCAAGAGGCGCTGACACGTAACAGCATTAGGAAAGCGAGCAGTTGTAGTTGTGCGGGCTTGAGTTCGAGCAAGAGTAAGAGCACAAAGAGGTATAGCAGCCGCGCGTGCAAAAGCAAGAGAACCAGCGTATCACCAGAGTTGAGTGGCACCAGCACTAAGCAGAGAAAGCGCCCATCCCGACAGAGGCGCTGCAGTAACCTGCTGCAGCGCTGCCGCTGCCAGCAGGGCGAACAAGTCGATGATCTCATGTCGGTGGAGATGAAGCACGAGAACACGCCGATGAACGGTATCCGTACGGATATCGTGGCGGATGATGCGATGAGGAGCTAGATCCAAACCTACGAGCTCAGAAGTTGAAGCAAACAAGGTAGAGAAGAGTAGATCTGGGAAATCTCAGCGTAGTAGCTCAGGAGCTGGAGCTATTGGGATAACTCAGGGTGGATCACGAGCTGAGTGTATGCGCTAGCATTAGCGCGAGCAACTCGAACGACGGTAGTAGCAATTGTAGAATCGATAGCAAAAGCAAAAGTAAAGCAAGTTAATAACAATACTAACAGCAGCAATATGAGTGTTCCTCGTAATACTACAGCAGATTTTTTTCTTTGCTTTTGTTTGCTTCTAGTGTTAGTGACCTGAGAGATATCGTGCGCGAAGAGCCTCGAGCAGCGCTACTGTTTTTTACTCGAAGGGGCGCCCTGAAACTGTCACCCGGTGACAGCTCTGAGGGGTCGCCGTAACGAAAGTAGGGAAACCTGCTGGCTTTCCGCGCAGTCGCATGGCTTTATTTCTATTTGGATGGGCTCACCTTTTTAAAGCATAGTTAGCTCAAGTGAGCCCGGAATCCATATTTGCGTTCTCCTTTGATTGGCCGCTGACGGGTCGGCAACGCAACTTAAGTAGGGAAGTTTCCGCGACCGTACGTCACCGTTGAAGTTTATTTTCGGTGGTGCGACGCTATGTTGAGTGCGGAGCGCATGAACTTGAGCGGGAGAGTACCGTTGTTGCCTGTTCAAGTAGGCAAAAGTATCGAGTACCTAACCTGGGAAATGTTGACACGAGTCTACGTTTCTACTTTAGAAATTGCGAAAAGCATAGTGAAGCTATGTGAAGCGCTCCGATCGCGACCATAGTGAAACGCAGTGTTTCTTTCATAGAAAACATTCACAAATTTGGCGAACCGACTCTGCGTGCTCTCAGCTTTAAGATCTGAGAGAATATTTTTGACCATGTTGAAGTGGTACCTATTTTTATAAAAGGACCACAGCACTTGATTCGCAGCTACATCGCCTTCATGTCGATATCTGCACGACGGCAGGCAAGTGAGGTAGGTCACTTGGTCTGAGAGTGACGTCGGTTCTAATGCTTTCGTATCTTTGTATAGAGGCCGGGAGGCAACGAACAGTGATCCGCTGCTGAACCAGTGAGCAAGGTGTGTGGAAATCACAGCACGAGTTTGCGTGCAATAATACCTCAGAAGTCGTCGCAACACGCCAGACAACGCGAGGGCACACAAGTAACCATCCCTTTGGTCATGATCGGTAAATATGTGGATGGCTACGACGTGCCAGCGGCGATGACGGTGATAAATCGAGCGTTGCGTTTGAACAGGTGATAAAGTGCCGAGCAACACAAAGCAAGACCAACATCAAGTCGTTAGTATATGGGGTTATTCGTTACTTTGTAGAGAATGTAAAAGGATGGCCGAATTCGGTTTCAACCGGTTGCACTCGAATGAAATCCGAATGCAACCGGTCAATAAAAATCCGGATTCTGATCCGGGTTCATCCGGATGCAATCCGAATTTATTTTGGGACATTTCTTTGTACACATTCTGATTTTATCCAATCATGATCACTCAAAGGATAGATTTATTCGTATATAGAAGGAGACTCCATAATGTAATAAGTCAAATAATCCGAATGCATTCGAATATAGCCGGATTTATTCGATTTTCAAACCGGTTGAACCGGATGAGCCAGAAATGCCAATCCGAAATCTGAATGTCATCCGATTAAATTCTATTAGTTTGTGTGTGTTCGGATAGAGGTCTAGTTGGTTTGATACCACGCTCACTTGAAAACAGCTACTTAAGTAAAGCAAAATAATACCCAAGTACAGCATCATACAATGAAGCCCAGAACAGCAAAACACAATAGACCACAACATAAGAAACATAAATACAAGGCCCTGGTGTGAGCGTGTGCGACCCCGGATACGGCTACAACGGCTATGGCTACAACGGCTACGGCTACAACGGCTACGGCTACAACGGCTACGGCTACAATGACGGCATCGCTCTTGCGGTAGCCTACCCGAGCAACGGCGGCGGTGCAACGGCCAGCGCATCTGCGACCGCGAACGCGCGCAAGCTCCACTCGGTGGTAACTGAACCAAACCCGGCTCAATTGGCAGCTCGAAGTGTGGAGACACCCAAGCGCGTGCACGTGGTAGCACACCTCGCAGTCGCATGTGTGTGCGCAGGACACATCTACCCGAGCGGACAGAGCCTCTCAAGGCCTCTGTCTGTACAGGGTATTATTGCTTATGAGTTTTAGTCTTCGTTTGTGTTCGTAGCAATACAATACAAGTAGCATTCGTTCGTTTCTTACGAGTTGCATTTGCTTTCATTGAGCTCACACTCGTACAGTATAAATGCGCTTGTGATACCGGGTATGCTAGAAGCCACCACTTATTAACAGTGGTGTCCTTCGTCGAGATAAGTGGTTGACGCCTTGGTTGTGTGTTCTAGTCATAAACTAGATCAACCGACCGACGTCCGTGAAGCTCGCCCGCATTCGCGTAAGTGGTACAGCACCTCCTTTCGGTGGGTCCACATTTGTACTGAACTTTGTATAGCTTAAGTTGAAGTTAACTGCATATGGAGGAGCCAACCAGATCAGATGGACGGACAAGTATGATCATCGACCGCTCCCGGAGCGGTCGATGATCATATTCGTAAGCAGGAACGGCACATTGCGAGGCCTCGAGGATCTTCTTGAAGTTCTGCACGCCCTCCAGGCTCTCCACCTCGAAGATGTTCTTGGGCGCGACGAACTTGGGCTCGAGCGGCCAGTGCACTCGAACGGGCGGATCTCTTGCACTTCACTGGCCTTGCGGATGAAGGACGCCGCGACGAAGTCGATGTCGTGCTCCACGCCCCAGTCTAGGTCGCGGTTGTCCTTCTCCAACAGCGCCGGTAGTTCCACTACGAGACCGAGCAGGTTCACGCCTCTGGGACTGCCGATCTCCTCTGTCTTCTTGATCTGGCACGTGATCTCGCCCTGGCCCACGACCGTGCACGTGAGGCGGATGAGGCCGTCCGGCAGCAGCACCATGTCGCCCACCTTGACCGGATCGGTGTGACACCGGGCTTGATGTCTCGTCGTCGACGGCGTCGATTTCGAAATTACTTCATCCAGCCGCAGAGGCTTCTCCTGGTAAGCCCCCCCCCACCCGTTCCGGTTGACGTGCAGCCACAGCGACGACTATGCTGGTTCAACGCTATTTCTGCGTCGTTATCAGACCACGCCATGCCTGTCGAGGCGTACCGTTGCCCCACCAATACTCGCGGCATCGAAGCGCCTGGCGGCTTGAGGCACCAGCTCAATGTTCATCGACTGACACCTCCTTGAAGCATGGACTGCCATTGTCTGCCTTGCGTTGACGCCAGTGAACACCACGCGGACGGGAACACCCGAGTGTGCGAGTCACAAGCACAACCCACCGACTCAGTTGGCGACCATGCGCCAGTGCGTGTCAACTCGTCCATTCTCAGTTGAGCAACCAACCAAAGTGCTCAGCTTCTGTAGTAACCACACCACAACCCCACCAAGCAGAACTTCTGCTTCTGCTGCAGAAGCGTCGACAGACCCCCGTAGCGTAGTATTGGCCCAATCAATTGAAGTTCAATTGAAGAGTCTACACCAGATCAGATGCGCGTACTCCATAGTCTCCCCTTCAACTCGTGTGGGGCCTTCTTCAAGTACTTTGGGTTGAAGTCTGCAGCTTGGCAATGCAAGACAAAAGCTCAACAAGGTGAATCCGAAACCAGAAACGTCTGGGATATCGTCGAACATGAGCCAACCACACTCACGCAGAACCCTCCAAACCCAGCGAGTTCCAGGCAAGCTGGTCATTCTCGAGACTCGACAGCATTGCGCGACGATCACTCGCCACCACCAGCCCAACCGGCTGAGCACGTCATATCGACTCGTCCGTCAGAGACGTGCAGGTCTGGTTCGCCGTCGTCAGCACCACCCGATTCCAAGCTGACCCACAATACGAGTCGTATCGTAGAAGTTCTACGTCTGCAGTCTGGACGAGTCCACGAGCAACATGCCGGCGGCTCCAATTCCGTGTCAACCTCCAGCTGTTCAGGTTTCCAGCAGAGCAGCAGCAGTCCGTCGTCGTCCCCGCACTCGCACGGCTTCTCCCAAGTCGACTCGGACGCGTGGCTTCCGGCCCCTCCAGATCTACCAGAGAACCTCGATGGTCTGGCCTCGTTCGTCGAGCGAGCAAGCGCCGCCAACGCGAGGGATATGCAATGGAACCAGGAAGAGCTCGACTACTACTCGGAGATCCTGCGCGAGTCCGGGCGGTTCAAGCCAGAATTCAGCAAAAGTGCCGTCGGCAGCGGCCACACCACCACCAGCAGCAGCAGCCACTCGCGACGAACTCAGAGCTACACGCAAGGTTTCCACCCGGTCACCTCCCTGCCCCCTCCCGACCACGCGAAACTCGACCGTAGGGCGACTGGGTGCACCTTCTGAAGAAAATCGAGGAATGAGCCATTGCAACAGTGCTCGACTATGAATAGCTTTACCGCACAGATCATTTACCGCATAAGGCTATCTATCCCACGAAAGCCAACGCATGGTCATTCAAAAGCAATGTTGACGTAAAAAAAAACAATCTGCGCTTCTTCACTGCATTTCGTTGCGTTCCGCTTGCTTCGCCCGAATAATTTTAGATATCCGATATCGCATATTCTGCAGTTGACAGTTTTGCTGGTTCTGGGCTGCTTGCCGGCTGACGTCACCTCGCCGTACTGCGACGACGGACTGTGGAATGCAAAACTTCGGTGCAGAGTATAATATAATGTGGCATTCTACATGTAGATGCCGTATCCATGTCTTGTGGTCGAAAATTTTCAATTGGAAATTCAAAACATAACCAACACGGGTAGGAACTGTAGGCTGTAGGCCATACTTCTGCCGCTATCGTCATCCCTCCCGTCCCTGCGTTCCAACGTATTCAGCCTCTCAGGCGTGGCCAAGGACACGGCATCAAGCAAACCATGTCCTGTGCTGACTACCCATTAGTTACTCACCGAGAGCACGGGCGCAGAGCGCTCATAGTCGTCTCGATCCAGCAACGAAGGGACCCCCGTGGTCGCCTCGCGAATGTGCAATATCAGCGTGTGCCAAATGTCGACCCACCCATTGCAACCCGCGTACCAGTAGATGTAGCGAGCATCACTGTTCATGCGCTTTCGTCCACTGCGCCGACGGTTTCTCTAAAAAAGTGGTTGATTATTAGTTAACAAGAGTGCGTCTCCTTCGTTTGCCGTTGCCCGCCAGATCTATTACCTCACTGTATGTGCGCTTGCCGGCAGCCTTAATATTCTGGCGTAAATCGATGCCGTTGGCCATGTACCCTCGCTGGAGCAGGAACTCGCCATTCTTTTCATGCTCACGGATCGCCCTCTCCGCCGTTCTCGTCTGACGAGACAAAACGCTCATTCGAATGAACTCACCATCTCGCAACGTTGGTGTCTGGCTTGTGGTGATGCGGTCTCGTGCTCTCCTTGTTTCGGGATCGAATTTTGGGATGTGTTCCACTTTCTTGGAGTTGGAAATGTGTTTTTTGCGTCCAGCCATGATAATGAACTCGTGCGTCAGGTCGGTCTTCTGAGGATTGCGAGTGGACGTCCTGGACTTCCAGTTCAGCAGTTCTCTAAGCTTCCGAATTTCAGTCAGTAGCTCTTCGTGACGGGAAGCGGCGAGAGCATCAGAAGTACGGGCAGCAGCAGTTTCTTGGCGAGCAGAAGCTATCTCTTGGCGATGTTCTTCGAACTGACGCTGAGCTTGCTCCCGTACAGCAGCAGTCTCCTGGCGAGCAGCAGCGATATCGTGGCGATGTTCTTCCGACTGGCGCTGAGCTTGCTCCCGTACAGCAGCGGTCTCTTGACGGGCAACAGCAGTCTCCTGGCGCGCAGCAGCGATCTCTTGGCGATGTTCTTCGAACTGACGCTGAGCTTGCTCCCGTACAGCAGCAGTCTCCTGGCGAGCAGCAGCGATCTCGTGGCGATGTTCTTCCGACTGGCGCTGAGCTTGCTCAAGTCGACGATTTCCATCTTCTCTTACGGCGGCTGTCTCTGCCCGTGACTGATCAAGTCTATCATTAATCTCCTGGATACTTCTTTTGGCCTCGGTGCGTATCGTATTAGCCTCGGCCCTGGCGTTTTGAGCGTCTTTCCTGGCTGCGCGTAGATTGGCGCGCAGCTCGTCCAGCACTTTCCGGTCCATACCGCTTTTTAAAAAATGAAAATGAAAGCGCGCGCAGTGCATCAACGAGGTTAAATCCAAACAAAAAACCTTGCACAGATGACGTGTCGATGGTTGCACCCTTTTGTACCAAATGTATGGTACAGCGTTTCTATACCGCGCCACCAGGACCAGCCAGACACTGGCGCTGCGAAGGATAACGTGCCCCATGAGCTCATGGGCCTGCACGCGCAGTTCGTCAAGATCCAGGAGAAGAAGCAGGAGCTCCTGGAGGAGGAAGGCAACACCGTCGACGATGAGTGAATGAAGCTGTCCAAGGAGCGTAAGCGCTGGCCCAGCAGCCGTGTCAACATGAAGGGCGAGGACGAGCTGTGGCGCGATGAGGACAGCTGTTACGAGCAGGAGGATGCGTACGTGTGCCTGGAGGCCGAGGCTCGCCAGACGAAGGTCAAGATCATCGCGGCCGACCTGCTCGCGCTCAAGACGGAGATGAACGCCCGTACGCGCTCGCTCGTCCAGCGCTGCACGCGTCACCAGGCCCTCCGTGCTGCAGAAGCTGCTCGCGGCGGTTAACGAGTACAACGAGTGGGGACAGGTTTTCGAGCTGGACGCGCTGGTTGGGTATATGCCAAAGAAGCCGAGGACATGATTGAATGCGTCACGTCCAGACTGCAGCACGCCAACTCGGCTGTGGTGTTGTCCGCTGTGAAGGTCATTATGAAGTTCCTGGAGAACGTCTCGGACGCGGACACCGAGAGGAGCTTGTCCGAGAAGATGGCCCCGCCCCTCATAACGCTGCTGTCCGCGGAGCCTGAGATCCAGTACATGGCGCTGCGCAACATAACCTGATCATGCAGAAGCACCCCGCCATCCTGGCTAACGAGATCAAGGTCTTATTCTGCAAGTACAACGAGCCGATCTACCTCAAGATGGAACCATGCCTCCTCTGTTGGAACGTACCCAAGAAACTCCATACTTATATATATAAAGTACTTCAAGTAATAATAAAGTATATGTTAGCCGAGATTGAAAACTTCCCATAACTTCATTATATCAGATTTCATCCGTTACCATGGCTGTTTTCCTCGTCTTTCTCCTGCGGCTTCTACACGTACTCGACCTGTCTCCTTCAAGGAGACTCCTTGGTCCACCTGCAGACCACCGACGCTCTCAATGTCAGACTTGTCGCCCTTCTACCGACGCGACGATCCATTCAGGTCCTTAGCACGGTCGTTACGCTCCTCTTGGTGGATCACGCGGTGCCTGAGTAAACACCAACTTCTGCAAGTCGGCAGTACGCACGGCCTGCTGGATCCGAAGTCTCGCCTCCACCTTTGAGTGCTCATGTAGCGAGTCGAGGACTCAGTAGCCAGCGTTGTTCATCAGCTCCGTGTGAAGGCAGATCTTCTCCTCACGCTTGGCCTCCTCGTCCAGCAGGAGCTTCGTCTCCTTGTCGATGAGCTTGTTGAACTGGGTGATCGATGATACCGTCGTACCAAATGCGGGCCGTCGAGTAGTACGCCAAGCTCTCGCGCTCGTACTTGTTCAAAGTGTGCTGCTTGAAGGCTGCCTCCTCCTCGGCGGATCAGTTCTCTTTGCGGCGCTCGTAGTTGTCACGCTGCACCTCTGCCAACACACCGGCAGCCTGCTCTCCGCCCATGACGGAGATGCGGGCGTTCAGCCACATGTACAGGAAGCGCGACGAGAACGCTCGACCGCACATACCGTAGTTGCCTGCATCGTACGACCCGCCAATGATGCACGTGATCTTGGGCACAGCGTTCGAGACGGCCTTTACCATCATGTCACCGTCCTTGGCGATACCGCCGTGCTCGGCCTTCTTACCCACCATAAAGCCCGCGCTGGCTGCACAACTCGATGAAGTGAGCGGCCTTGACGGAGAACTCGGAGAACAAGATGTCATAGTTGGCCACAATACCCACTGGGTTCCCGTACAAACGCGCGAAGCCCGTGATCATGATGGGGCCGTACTCCTTCTTGAGCTCGTCGAAACGACTGCCGTCCACGATGCGGGCAATGACCTTCCTCACGTCAAACGGCTTGCGGGAGTCTACAGGAATGACGCCGCCAAGCACGTTTGGCGAGTACAGCGGCTCCTCGACCGGCGTCTGCGTGACGAAAGGCTGCTTGCGGTAGTTGAGGTTGCTGACAAAGCGCCGCGCGATATCCAAGGCGTGAGCGTCGTTGTTAGCATAGTGGCCGGTCACACCGGACGTGCGGCAGTGCATATCTGCGCCGCGCGAGCAGGTCGGCCGCGATGATCTTGACCTTCGTCTGGCGAGCCTCGGCCTCCAGGCACACGTACGCATCCTCCTGCTCGTAACAACTGTCCTCATCGCGCCACAGCTCGTCCTCGCCCTTCATGTTGACACGCCTGCTCGGCCAGCGTTTACGCTCCTTGGACAGCTTCATTCACTCATCGTCGACGGTGTTGCCTTCCTCCTCCAGGAGCTCCTGCTTCTTCTCCTGGATCTTGACGAACTGCGCGTGCAGGCCCATGAGCTCATGGGGCACGTTGTCCTTCTCGTCCACGCAGCGCCAGCGTCTGGCTGGCCCTCCGTCGGGGACAGTCGGCACGGTTTGCTCTCTGGCAAGCTGCGACGCGTGGCATACTCGACGACCCTCCACACGCGGTGTACACGGGTACTCGCGCCCATCAACCCTGGTGACTGTCCATTTCTCTGTGCCCATTTCTCTCGAGGGTACTCGCGTTCAACCCTTTTGACACTCAAGCAGGCCCAGATTTTGTCACCAGGTTTGATGGGCGCAAATTTTGTCACCAGGGTTGATGGGCGACTAGTGCGTATACGGGTTACTCCCTCCACCCGCGGTGTATACATGGCATGGCAACCATGCCATGTCATGGTAACCATGCCATGTATACACCGCGGGTGGAGGGAGTAACCATGATTGTTACCCAATTAGAAAACATTACGTACAGGAAAACAGAAAGGCGCGAAGTGCAACGTGCAGACGACCTTGGCGCGTGTGGGCTCCAGCCCGTCCCAGGCCGCGGCCATGCAGAGCTACGTGACGATTCAGCAAGGCCGTAGCCACCGGCCCCCGATTTCTTCATCGGTGACACAGCACCAGACGGATCTACCGCTACACCTCACTCCGGACGGCCGAGGACGCCGCGCCGTCCGCTGCCATGATGCACTGGCACTCGGACGCCGTGTGCTACCTCCAGTACTCGAGCAACGGCCAGCTCCTGCTCTGCATTGCTCATGTCCTGACACTTGGAGTCGGGTCGTCGCGCCTACCTTCGTGGACCCGTCACCAAAGCGCTCGTGCTGAACGCCTCTTTATGGTAATGATGGCCTTGTCTGGCTGGACACGGAGGGCACGGCCGGTCTCGAGGCCTCGCAGCAGTATGACGCGCATCTTCTCGCTGGCCACGCTGCTCGGCAGCCTGCTGTGTGCTCCAAGCCCATCTACAACAGCCAGGGCAGCGTGGACGAGAAGACCATCAACGGCCCCAGCTTCATCGTCAACCTGGCCACGCACATCAAGGCCAGCGCGTCGGACGACGGCGAGGACAAGGACATCATGCAGTTCCACAACTTCTTTTCATCCTTCCTTTGGGCCATGAGGGATTTCGTGAACGAGGATGGAGACCCCATCTCCAGCAACGACCTACGTCGAGAGAGCGCTGGCCGACCAGTCACGCGTCACCGCCAACTTGAAGCACAACGGCATTGGCGCAGGACTTCTTCTGGGACCGCGACTGCATAACGCTCGTGCGTCCCGTGCACGATAGCCACGCTGTCGCTTGCAGGAGATGACGTCCGCCACTGCGAGTTCTGCAGGCAGGCAACTGATGCGTGCGTGCTGATGCACTGCCACGCGTGTCGACGGGCGTATCATGCCAAATGCTTCTGGCCTGCATTTAAGTAGTGCGTAGTTGGGAACGTCACGCTCAGAATCGGCACGTTGAACGTGCCGATTCTGGACCAACTGGAGCAGCTCAAGGCACCTAAGCGTCGTGGCAACATTTTCCGGTGTGGTGTGCGTCGTGTAGGGCTGCGATTGTGGATTTTTGGAGTACGACGTGCGCGCAACCGGAGAAAGTGATTTACTATCGCCAGCGGAAGCTGGCGGAATGAGAGAAGCAGCGCAAGAAAGACCAGAAAGACAAAATGAAGAAGAGCAGCGCTGCGGAGCCACCGACTTCGACGCCAAGCCGCTCGAACTCGAAGTCACGCAGTCGGCGTGTACGAGGAGGCAGCGCAGCGCTTGCTGATGAAGTGGCTCACGCGCGGATAACACAGCCTCCGATGTCGCGGGTTGTGGGTCTTGATATGGCGAAGGGAAATGATAGGCCCTGCGAATGCGGTTGATGGTGATGGATGTGGACGGCGGCGTTGACACTCTCAGCAGGTGGACAGGAAACGGAGCAAAAGGGCAGCAAGATAGCAGAGCGACAACAGGAGTCGCATTCAGCACAAGGTGCCACGCTTCTGCGGCATCAAGAGACCAAGAACCAGCCAGAGCTGCAGCGGCCAGCAAAAACCGTTCTGTCAAGAAGGAACAAGCAGAACCTCAGGTAAACCAGAAACCGAAATGGGTCGAAGGTATGCGGTGTTACCAGTGTTTTTTCGTGCACATGTACGAGGGCACGCGTGATACCAAGGGCGTGACCGATACGGTGCTACCGGTGTGGCAGTGGACGAACGCTGGAACCAGCGGCTGGTCGGAGTGCTTGGGTACTGCAGCGTTCAACAACAACAGCTCGACCAGTCCTCTGTGCACACCGAGCCCACCCCCTTGGCTAAAGCCACACGGCCACCAGTGTTGACGGTGAATGGCCGAATGAACAGGAATGCCTTTTTCACATCGTCAGACACCTCCCTGAAAATCAGGCGCGAGAGGAAGTCACGCGCAGGAGCACTAAGAGATTCGCTTCGCTTCAAGAATAATCCGGAAATATATTACGGATAAAATACGGATACTCCAATACTTAACTCCAGTGGAGCTATCAGGTACCCCTGTAACTCCTTGAGTCTGCGGCCCCTTCTCCATTTAGGGGCTGGTCGCGCTGGCTGGTGGCGTGGGCGCGCCGGACGTCGTGCAGGCCAAATCTGTACCAACCTATAAATACATTCAGTCTTAGATCTACCGCTTTTCAAGTCAAGTCGTCCCCTGCAGACCAGGGACATGTGAACGACTGTTCACTTGAAGTTTGTATACTCCTGCTTCCTCTGTTAAGAAGTGCTGTGTGCCCCGTCACATGCCGGCCGGCTCGCTGGGGTCGGGCTCGGCCACAGCCAGGATGAGCAGGTTGGCGGGGCCGTTTCTCGGTTGTGGAGCTTGACCGCTGAGCCGACCGTGAGCGCGGTCCAGTGCGCGATGTTCGGTTCGTCCACGCCGCCGGCGCGGCGCCGGCGGCGCGGTTGAGCGCGTCGCTGGTGCCGGTGAACGTCTCCTTGAGCACGTGGCACTAGGCCGAGTTGGCCTCCTTGTCGACCAGATGGTGCCGGCGGTCCTCGATGATGGCTGACGGCGCGAGGTGGTTAGAGCACCTTTAACCTTTATTACATGTATTGTGAAACGCGGTTGGAATGTCCACGCCTTATTAGCTAACATATTTATCTTAATCGGATTTGAATTTCCGTACATAAGGGTATAAAACTAGCTACAAAGCGAAATCGGTTAGCAAATAGGAGTGTGTAATCCTGCTTGGACAAGCTGGCGAGACTCGACTCGGTCTAATTTAGCGACGGCGGCTAAGAGCTACCAAGACGCCTTTGGGCCAATATCGCCCGAAGTTTGGAGTCGTTCATGCCAATAAGGCTCCGACCAGGTTGACTATCTAGTGCACCACCTCTAAATGCTTTGACACCTTCCATATTGCACGCTGCAAAGCTGGTGACTTCTACAGAGCTATAATTATTTAGCTCAAATAGCACGGAATGTCGACTTCCACGGCGACATTCCGCCTTATTTACAAACAAATCTGTTGCGAATCGGATTAACCACATGGACCTGCTTGCTAATCGCCATGATAATTCCTAGTCTAAAATAGAGGCGGGGATCTAATTAGGTGATCAGTCGAAAGAAATAAGACTTCGAAGTCTAAATTAGCCAAAACCTTGACGGATTTACTATCCGATTAGACATTCGGGGTGCCGATCACAATATTGTATCCCCCAATAATGCGACGCACCGTTATTATAGTTGAGCAGCTGGTTTTCAGTTAGGAGGGGGTATCTAGACATCTGATGGTGAATGGCCTTCTATTTGTGGTTTTGGGGTGTTTTTATCCTATAGAAGCCTGATATGGTAGAATATCATCAAATCTCCGACCGCACTTAAGATGATAGGTATACAAATCCCCAGTCAAGCGCGGTCGGAGCATAACAGTATTACCCTACCCCTTCCCAAAGTGTTATGCATACACAGTCCAAGATAGATTAGTCGTCCCGTTTGCTCATTGGTCGGAGCCTTGGGATGGATGGCACGGAGCGAGTGTAGCGAGCCCCCGCCTAGTCCGTGTGCGTAGCACACGGACTGTCAAACCCAGGACCCAGCAGTGCTCTACCTAGCAAGCGGAGGCGACGCGTGCGAGCCGCAGCGGGCTTAGGGTTCTGGCCCAGCGAGCGCAGCGAGCCTTTAGGGGTTTTAGGTTCGCGCGTAGCGCGTAGCTGGGTGATAGTTAAAGGTGACCCCCCTCCTATCCGCATGTTTTGTGTACGAGTCGGAGAAAGTCGGAGGGTCGGAGGTTTTTGGGTATGGAGCTCGGAATTCGGAATGATGGTCAAATAGTCATATTAGTAGTCATATTAGTAGTCTTATTAGTACCACCGATGCCTCACTACTAATAGATATATCATTCTACTATTGCCAGAATTTGGATAGTAGTAGTAGTAGTATGACTACTAGCCAGTATTCCCACTACTACCAAACCCTGTCCGAGAACTGCGACTCCTTGGTGGAGCCGTCCAGGATGGCGTCGATGCAGGCGCGCGTGTCCTTGATGCTCATGCGTAGCCGCCACTGGTGCAGCCCGTGTTGACGAGGTAGACGGACGTGTTGTGCTTCTGCAGCTTCTTCGCGTACTTGGTGGGGTGCAGCGGTAGGAAGGCGGCGCCGAAGCAGGCGCTGAAAGTGGCCGCGGGCTCCGTCACGCCACGCTCCGTGCCGGCAACCAACCTTGGCGGTGTAGCCGGACAGGAAGTGGTACATGGCCTGACCGTCGCTCAGCTTGGACACAGGCGGCAGCACGCCGTAGGCGTGCACGCGATGTTGGACGGGTGGCCGCCGCTCGATGTGGGCTCGTGGTTCAGGATATGGTAGATCGGGTACGACACACGGCCGTTCTCCGTCCTGGACGTGTTGTAGAAGTCGGGCTCCTTGGCCTCGGCGTCCACGAACGCGTTCTCGAGCAAAGCATCGCGCTTGATGGTGTTGTAGATGTCCGGCTCGTTCTCCTGGCTCAGGTTGACGGTCTTGGCGTAGCAGCCGCCCTCGAAGTTGAAGATGCCCAGCCGTGCTCGTCGTCACCGATGAGGTAACGCTGCGGCCCGTGCCCGACAGGCCGAAGAAGAGGGCGGTGTCACCGTTTTGGCCGCGCAGTGCATGGCCATGATGCCGTCCAACGGCAAGAAGATGCCCTTCTTCTTCTCACCGCGATACCAGGTGCCGCCGATGACCACGTCGTTCTCGATCTTGAAGGCAACAAAGACCTCCGAGTTAAGACCGTGTTTTTGTAGTTCTTGTTAGTGCCTTGCAGGCGTTGACGATGGTGAAGTCGGACTCGAAAAGCGTAGCCGTCGAAGACGTACACCTTCTCGGCCGAGCTGTAGTGCTTGGTGACCGTCTCGTACAGCTCGTCGAACACCTCGGCTCTCTCGGGATGGTTGATGTCGCCCCACCAAATGTTCTGGCTGGACGGGGCCTGGTCCATGATGTACTTGTTCTTGGGCGAGCTGCCCGTGAACTTGCCCGTGTCGATCGTGTATGTGCCGTTCTTGACGAACTGACCCTCGCCGTTCTTCGCCTTGTGGGCGGCGATCTCGTCGTAGCTCAGGTTGCGGATGGTGTTGGCGTTCGTCACGCCGAACTTCTCGATGGCCAGCGACGTGGCCGTCGGGTTGGCGAACGTGCGGAGCACGAAGGGCTTCGCGAAGGCGGCGGGCCTGGACGGCGCCATCTTCATGGCAGTCTGCAGTAGAGGGCGACTTTAATCAATACACACAACCCGCAACACTAGCGCTACCTCTTCCATTCATGCTTTACATGTCCTGTAATCTCTCTCTTACCTTGAGGTCTACTGTATTGCTGGAATTGGACGCTGGAGGCTCGACTGTCCGGGCATCGGCCGCTGGGTTGGCTGCCCTTGGAGCGCTGCCGTTGAGGTGGAGGGAGCTTGAACACTTGGCAAGGAAATTAAAGAATGACGGCCCGGCCTTGGTAGACCCCGGAGAAAGCGCTGTCGTATCACACCTTAGCACCTAACTTGCGTTGCTAGTACTTCCAGCCGCGCTCAAGTTGCTTCAGGGTGTCCACCGAACGTTGGCGAGCAGAGGGGCGCCGCTTCTCCACATGTTGGCGACTAGTAGAGCCACGTTCCTTCAAGGTGTCCATCTGAAGTTGGCGACGAGCAGAAGACTGAGATTCTCGCCGCGTCTCCACTTGCTTCTGCTGCCTCGCAGGTTGCGGCGGTGGAGGAGTCGTCAAGTCGACTACAAGCCGTGCGCGTTTACTCCCACTCTGATGCTGTTGGTCGAGTTGCAGCCTCTCACGCTGATGCTGTTGCTGTTGGTCGAGTTGCAGCCCCTCACGCCCACTCTGATGCTGTTGGTCGAGTTGCAGCCTCTCACGCTGATGCTGTTGCTGTTGGTCGAGTTGCAGCCCCTCACGCCCACTCTGATGCTGTTGGTCGAGTTGCAGCCACTCACGCCCACTCTGATGCTGTTGGTCGAGTTGCAGCCTCTCACGCTGATGCTGTTGCTGTTGGTCGAGTTGCAGCCCCTCACGCCCACTCTGATGCTGTTGGTCGAGTTGCAGCCACTCACGCCCACTCTGATGCTGTTGGTCGAGTTGCAGCCTCTCACGCTGATGCTGTTGCTGTTGGTCGAGTTGCAGCCCCTCACGCCCACTCTGATGCTGTTGGTCGAGTTGCAGCCACTCACGCCCACTCTGATGCTGTTGGTCGAGTTGCAGCCTCTCACGCTGATGCTGTTGCTGTTGGTCGAGTTGCAGCCCCTCACGCTGATGCTGTTGCTGTTGGTCGAGTTGCAGCCCCTCACGCCCACTCTGATGCTGTTGGTCGAGTTGCAGCCTCTCACGCTGATGCTGTTGCTGTTGAGCTTGAGACTCGAGTCGCTCTTTCCTCTTGTTGTGGACTTGTGTGTTCAGGTGAGCCTTCATGTTTTGATAGTGCGTCCTTCCATCGGCATAGCCCAGGCTGTACTGCTTGCAACATACGCTACACCAGTAGAACCTGCCGCCGAGATGCTTGAATATCGGGGCCACGCAGGCCATGGAGGTGGAAGAGCAGAACTTTTGATGTGATGGCGCTTAAGACATTCGTCGGGTTTCAGCATTTACTCGGTTACTGTTGAAACATTTTAGCATTCGATTGTTGTTGAAACGAGTTGAACGTTTTTTTTATCGACTGTACGTGTTCAGCATTTACACGTATTCATACAAAGTCGTGCTGTACACGTACACGACTGAGGCCGTGACGTTGCTCGAGCCCGAGTACGCCAGGAACGGAGGCAGTGCGTTCCGTTGTTGGTGCAGGCGTCCCTGGGCACCGACGCCTCGGTCAGATTTGAGTTCATTCATGCTGTGCTCGGGCGACAGGATTGCCGACGACGGTGGATATGGTACGACAACAGCGTGCAGTACTCCTTGATCTCGGCCTGCGGCCCGAACGACACGAACTGCTCGGCCGTGTACAGCACATCTGCATACTTCCAAGCACACCATAGCACATCGTAGCATGTATTAAACACTGCTACTAAATATCAATTCAAAGCACACTCTTGCTTTACCCGGATGTTTGGCCTGACCTGGTGTTTTACCCAAAAAAAGTTCCGGGTAAAAGTTCCGGTCAGGGTGAAATAAGGGTAGTAAAAAATCCTAAAACATGCGCTCATTTTCACTAAGAAAGAGTTCTGGGTAAAAGTTCCGGTCAGGGTGAAATAAGGGTAGTAAAAAAGGTAACCTACTTGCACGTGTACGATGACGATGAGAGTCAGGTCGTCTATTGAGTTTTTAGAACTGCTTCAACAGCGGCGGCGCTTTGCCCAGCGTAAGCGGCGTGACGGGGTCCTCGGTGGGGTTCCCTTCGCGATGTTCACGAAACAGTGTAGTCGCCCGCCTTGTTGCCCAGCGCCAGATTATCGAAGGTGTACGTGGCTCCGACCTCGTACTTCTCGGCGCCGAGCGGCGTGTGTCTCCTCAGTCTGCGTTGCTCCTCGCTCTCGCCAAAGTCGGCAATGCCCAGCTCGGGCGCGTGGTGTCTGGCAAAAATGAAGATCGGGTCCCATGGGATAAATTGAGACCTGTATTTATCCCAAGAAAAACCCACTCAATAAATTACCGTTTTAATTACTTACATTCGCGTGTAGCGCGAGATGGACGCGTCGCCGACAGGGTCAACATTCACGTGGGCGATTCATAAAGACCAGAGGTATACGATATTAAAGGCTTTTCATTATGTGTTGGACCAGCAACTGTTTACTTTGATAAGATTTATGGACAATCAGACTCTATAAATTACGAAGGCTGTGTTTTTTTTAACAAAAACCTTGATATGAAATGGGTGACCCGTACATCAGATACACTATTCAAGCAAAGAGGGCATCGCTAAATTCTAATATATAAAAACAGCGCGGAAAGTAGTATCACCGGTAGACTCTGAAATAAATTTCAGAGAACATGTACCCTGCGTTTTTTTTGCGCTTTCATACGTTTGCTGTAGACGTATGAAAGCGCGAAAAACACAAAAACGGAAAGACTAAACAGCAGACATAATTAAGCATTTTTTCGGTTCTTTGCGATGATGCAGCATCCTTCTAGACCTCATCTGTCTATATATACGCCGCTAAAAATGCATGCACGTGCATGCATCGCATCATGCGGCGCAGCAGATCCCATAGTTTCCTTACGTCCTGTTCCTTGCGATGATGCATAGGCTATATATACAGTACACCATCTATGTGCCAGAATCGAAGACATTGCACGCCAACGGCCACACACTGGTGCCTCCAAGCCTCCATCACCCGTGGACAAGGTGCAGATGCCCAAGTCGGATACACCGGAGTTCAAGCGCCTGCAAGACCTGCACGCTGGAAGTCTAGCACAATTCTGCAGGCGGAATGCTGCCGAGGCATCACCGCCCAGTTCTCAAATAGCCCCGGCACTAGTGTCGGGGCCCAAGGACTCAACTGCGAGGTCGTGATATCTCTTCACGTCAGACGGACTGCTGCTCGGCAACACTCTGGTCCCGGACTTCTGCATGCCATGATGCCCAGGATCGCTCAGTCAACAGGCAATTGAAGTTTCATTTTTCGATACCCTCCCGCTGTAGTATTACAAGATTTACCTTGTTGAATTTTGCGACGAGATGTAGGTGAACTACACTGGACTCCAAATCCACAGGCGACACGACACGACTCAACTCAGCTCTGCGCTGCTCTTTGGCAGCCACAGTGAGCGACTGTGGACTAATGGGGATGCTGCTTCTGAAGGTCTGAAGCTGGCCACCAGCACCACCTCGACATGTATCTACACCTTTGCCCAGACTTAGTTGTCTACGCACGAGTTCATGCCTAGAAGTCGCGTACTTGTCCAGCTTCTCCATTCCCACTAGCGTTGTCTTATCGTCGCGATCCTTCTCGATAGACTGAGCCTGGTTGTACTTGACCAAACGCTCAGCATGGCACGGAGCGCCCTTCTTAACACCGGCGGCCACACTCCTCCAGGTCAGCAATGAACATGTCTAGCCAGACTTCTTCTCCACCGTCACTGCCTCAATCGACGCCGTGTTGCTGGCGATCTGGTTCACCTTCAGCAGGAAAGCGTCGCAAGCCTTCTGCTCGATGGGATTCGTCACCGCCAGGTCGTCGCCCACGATCTGCGCGACCTTGCAAGCTCCGTGGGCGCTTGGCCGGGCGGCATCAAGTCCGTCTCGAACGTGCAGATGTCGGACTTCAGCACGCTGTGGCAAGCAAAAGTAAGGCTGTGGAGCCTTGACGTGGACGAACTACAAGGCGGCACGTGCTGGCCCAAGAGCACCAAGGGCAATACGGCCTCGAACACGGCAGGAGGACAGGAGCACGGTGGGGATGTAGACGACCAGTTGCCAGACTGGGGGAGCTTTTGGAGATGACGGAGGTCCCAATGGCCATGGTCGTGCTGCTGAGCCGCTCCGTCTTGAGCCGTCGCCGCTTCTGCTTCCACGACGAGCTGCTGCTGTTGCTCTTGCTGCTCTTGCTACTGCGCGTGCTGACGGTGGACTCGGCGTCACTGGTGTTTTGACTTGCAGAGCCTACCTCACGGCTTGAACACCGTGTTCTGGCAGGATCATTTGGTCCGCCGCATTCACCTCCCAGTTCAGCGACGAGCAGTCTATTGCGACAAAGCAGCAACGAATTGTGAGTGCTCGATACTCTCACCAACGTGATTGCCTCCAATGGCTACGTACACTGCATCGCGTCTTCGTGCCGAGCTAAGCCCAGCGCGGCGTCGCTGACCGAAATTGTCGAATACGCAAGACTCAGCAGCTCTGCAGTGCCCTCGCGGGTGGCAGCTATACAATAACCACAACAATGCAACAACAAGGGTCAGGCCAGCATCAACTTTAACACAACAATTCAATGAGAAGAAGAAGTGCGCGCACTCTTTAGAGCCTCGATCAGTCCTTTGCAGCGACGGAGACCAGTCGTAGTTCATTGCGGCATATTATACGCTGCGCAGCCAGGTTCCTGTCCGCATAATCCGCAAGCAATCGTCAGCAACTCCAACGCTGCCACAGCGCCTTGCCGATCTCCCACACAGCACGGGAGCTCCTCGGAGTTCTCCGCGCGATGCGCTTCCACAGGAACCGCGCGTCATTCCTGTACGAAGAAAGACTACATGTAGGATTTTTTCAGTCTGCCAGTCCGCCATTTTGTAGCCATGTTGCTCACGCACATTTTCTTCGCCAGCAGCACAATGAGCAGGTAGCTTGCATAGAAGTCCGGGGTCAGCGCGGCGGCGAGCGGCACGGTCGTCGCAGCGGCCGCCACGAGCTCCAGCTCCTCCGACAGCGTCTTGAGTGGCTGCGCCAGCTGCTGCTGCGCGTCCTCGCGGTCGCTGGCGGCGGCGTGGGCGGCCAGCAAAGCTCCTCGCGCTGCGTCCACAGCGTCAGCACCAGGTTCTCCACTCTCCCGAGCCTGGTGATGTCCCTAAGCTCCTGTTGCGCTCGTTTTGCTCGAAAGCAGCAGCTACGGCAACCGCGCACCGGCAGCCTGAAAAAAAAAGGATTCTGCTGTGCGCCAGAGAGGCTCCGAGGGTTTTTTGGCGACTGTGGCTAAGCAATCGCCTGCAGCGTCAAAGTCAATAGATTACACAACCAAAAAAGTGTTAGTTCCACAATAATCTATCGATAGGTCTCATCTCTCACCAATGAACAGTGAAGTGATCTGAAACGTTGAAGACCTCCAACTACTGCAGCACTTCTCACAGCGCGCCAGGTCGTTGGGTAATGCATGTTGCTGTGTCTTAACGCCAGAAACTATCTGCAAAAAAGAAAATAATTAAAAAAAAGTTAAGCAACCTTCTTGGGGTCAAAGTAACTTTTAGCGGTCGGCACCTTGTCCTCGCTCTAGCAACGAGAAGACTGGGGCACGCATCGACTTCAGTACGTCTAGAACGCGCTCGATAGGCGAGCGCAGCTCACCGTCTCCTTTTTTCTACTGCAGGTCGCGGAATCGGCAAATTCAGGAATGAATGGTGGTGTTGGGTGCTTTTTAAGTTTGAGCGATTCTGACCTTGAGAACTTCAATACTACCCATTCAAGTATCTTAAGATCTGAGTCTGAAGTATTCAGTATAGTTGAAGTGTTAACTTCAACGGGAGGCTTCATCTGATCGGCTTCAAATAATCGGATGTGGGCTGCGCTAGCAGCTTTAGTGCTATCCCAGAATAATAGTCCTGTAATCCCTTCATTTTGTGATCCAAACTGCTGGTAAGGTGCTGCGGAACATCTGCCCTCTGAAGCTCTGCGTCGGAGTGTCTTGCCAATTGGCGTGATTTTACAGCTTTTCGTGGTCCTTTCGCTAGCGGTATTCGTATCAGCCCTAAGTAGTCGTTAACTACTGGCTAAGTGACAACAATGATAGAAGGCAGATAAACCGCTTGAACTCGACGATGTTTCCTGGCTGGGGCAGTTGGTAGTTACAAACCAATTGGCGGTGTCAAGGTCACTATGTCGACGTAGTGGTAAATAGACCATTTTGTAAATAGACCGTTGTATGTCGACGTAGTGGTAAATAGATCATTGTTTGTAGATATACCATGAGAAAGATAGATACATCTACCTCAGACATGTCATACATGCAGCTTGCAAGCGCGAGGGCATCGCTAATTTAGCTCATAGCGGTGCAGCCACGTCCCACGGCAAGTTTTCCGGGATCAGGACTCCTGATTCAGAAGATATATAGTTGCCGGTTAAAGCTCTGTACTTGCGCGCATCGGAATTGGAGTTGCTCGTGAGCACTGCGCGGTTGCAGGGCGTCAGACGCCCACTCGCGGCAAGGGCGAGCTGGATCCCTGTTCAAGCACGCCCAGACGTTTAAGCCTATGATTTGAGATTCTTGACTAAAAAAACAGTTTGTGCCACCTCGCTGATACATCGTAGTTGTACTACCAGGGTTTGAGCGTGCCCGAGAACAAAGCGTTGATCGTGCTTGAGCTGAATGCAGTAGGCAACGCAATGCCTACTAGGCACTCCACGTTTGGTGAGAGAGATACGGTGTTGGGCATCTTCAGTAAGCTCGGTTGAAGTGAGATAAGTTATTTATACCCACTGAATGTAAAATAAAGTTGTTTGATATGTGAGTACACTTTTTTGTGAATATGAACCGATACATCGCAACGTTTGGTAAATGTGAGTACACTTTTTTGTGAATATGAACCGACGTTTGGTAAATAACAAGCCCGGTCAGCGTAAACATTAGCAGTTATCGGCATAAAATTTGAAATAAAAATAGGAGACCAGGTTTGGTACCCGGTTTTGGAAAGTTACAAGTTTTTTGCCGGGCCAAGCACAGGGTTCTCCATGATACACTTACGGAACTGCGATCAAGAGCACAAATCTGATCCCAAGATAGTCTGGCTCAGAAATAGTCCTCTATGGCTACACTTTTAGTCTCATTACCCAATTCCCTCTTCCGACGACGATGGCGACGTCCGAGCAGTTCTTGACGATGAAGTACGAGAAGTGGAACAACTTCCAGGTGCGTGTCAGTTTCTCCATCAGCTTCTCCACCGCCTGGCGGTGCCAGTCGTGCCGTTGTGGTCGTCTGGAGCGCTGTAGATCGCTAGTAAAAGTCGAAATTCCCCCTCGACTATCAAATTCTGACCTTTATTCCTCGGTTTTGACGTTCCTACTGCCCCCTGCCGTTGCTACTGCTCTTACAGGATGACTCGGACTCTGAAGGTGAAGATGTGCCCCGTGGCCTACCCAATTCGAGGTGGAAGGCGATGGTTCGTCCAATGTAGCCATGTATCAATGCATTTCAACAGGGCTGACTGTATCGGTTGCTGCTGCTGTTTGTAGCCGACATTGTGGTGAGCACGGAGATGCTGCTGACGGCCAAGCAGGTGGAGCGCTACCGCAAGTTGGAGAAGAAGCAGTTGGAGGTGTGGCAGGTGGTGGTGCGCCAGCTCCGAGTGTGGTCGGCGTCCAGCGCCGGCGCCGAGGAGGGACAAGACGCCGTGCCCTGCCGCCCGTACTGCATTCTGGTGAACAACCTGTACCCGCTGGGGCAGGTGGTCTCCAAGAAGATCTGCGACCCGCCGGAGGTATATCCGTCGCCGCAGACCGTGCTGGACCTGACGCTGCAGGCCATGCTGGACCCGCCCACCAGCACGCCCTAGCACCGCCCTGACAAGGTCGTGTTCCCGGACAAGAACTTTGTGGGGGCAACTGCGGAAGAGCTACTCGGCATTGGGGATCGAGTGCTCGTACCTCTCCGATTCGGACGGCATCGATGCTCATTTTCAGTACGTTTTTGGTCTGGATTGCAAGTCGGTGGGGGCTGTACTGATGCTGACGCTGTGTTTTGTTACTTATTTCTTAGGAGCTCTCGCAGCACTTGATTTGGAAGGACCTTGTGTCCGTGGTGGAAGTGAGCGAGCGTCCTGGACTGGTTTCGGGCGCTGGAGTCACGACTGAGGCACTGTCCGCCTTCTACTCGGCCTGCGATAAATACGCCAAACTGAAGCCGTGGAACTGCCTCTCGCCGAACGCCAGGCCATTCAGGTGGACGCTGTGGGGAGGGCGAGCTGCGGCTGGATGCGCGTCGCCAGGTTGGCCGAGGCACTGTCTTCTCGTTCGCCATCAGCGCGCACACGGGCAGTGAACTGAACGGCGAAGGTGGCGACAATATCCGCTGCTTGACGCCGTTTTTTTTTTTTACACGCGCGCTGATCTCGAGCGCCGCGTGCTGCCTCCTGGCGAGAAGCTTGCACTCATGGAGAGAACCCGGAGCTGCGTCGTTGTGCCAAGTGCGGCAAACGCGCTGCCCCCGGCAACGAGCTCAAGCGCTGCACACGATGCAAGTGCACCTTCTACTGCGACGCGTAATGCTAGCGAGGCCACTGGAAGGACCACAAGGTCAGCTGCACACCTCCTGGAGACGCTGCTAACGGCGCTGGCGAGCACAAGATCATGTGGGGTGCGAAGGAGATGTCGATCCTCTACGACCCGCAGACGTCCGTGCCCTTCGACGACTTGGACGTTATCGCGAAACACTCTTTGTCCATTGCAAAGCTCTCTACCCGTCGGCAGTGGTGTTTTGCAAGGTGATCGAAGCGTGCCCGATGTGACCGATCTGGCTTGGCTGGCTCGAGCTCTGAACGCGCAGAACAAGATTGTCAGTAACCAGCCCCTGGTCATGCAGAACACAATGGGCGACTGCTGGGTCTGGACGGCGAGCAGCGCAAGGTGGAGCTGAGGTGCAAGACTTTCGGCTTCGACGACGAGCTCGTGATCCGCAACAGCACCGCGCTCACCATGCAGGACGTAGAGCGGTTGTGGAAGGTGATTAAGAAGCAGCAAGAAGGGGGCGAGACGATTGCAGAGGGCGAAGCCAAGAAACGACCAAGGGGGTCGAGTTGCTTTTCGAGTGGTTTTTGTCGTTTTCCGAGTATTCGTTTTTTTACGCACCAAACGGTGGGAAATAGCGTGGTGCGAAGTTCGCATCGGCGGATGCACCAAGTAAATCTGAGTCGCCTGTGCATGCACAGTGGCGTTGTAGATGAAGACGTTGATTGGTTCACCAAGGTCTGCCTTGAAGACGACTGGACTCGATGGTATGCTACAAGCGTATTCCAGGTGTCGTGCCCTCCCAAAACCCGCTAGAAGCCCATAACCGAGTGATTAAGACCTGTGGAGTGACCGCAAAGAGGGCCAAGACGGGTGTGGCCTTGAACGATTCTATCCCCGGGATTCTCGATCTCGTGAGCGGCGACGCAGCATCGGGCACTATTGCGAAGGACCGATACCAAGCGAGATAATCCACAGAGCGCAGCAACATATCGCGGATGGGAGTTTCTACGAGAAACGTGAAGCCGTGGGCCACAAATGACGCATCACTTCGTATCTTTTCAATGCATCCAACTAATACATGGAGTCGAAAGACGGACCCGCCACCGAAGTCAACAATGATCGCGTGAAAATGTAACATCGCTGCAAAACAAGGGAAGCTTCCTGACGAGCACACAGTGCGTGACATCAATCTCCACTATTTCTCGCTGCACGAAGTGGAGGTACTTGATGTATCAGCGGTCAACGACTTCACGTTTACACTCGAACCAGTTATCGTCGGAAGCAAATCGAGCAAATCCGGGCGCTGTTCAGGTGTGACTGCAAGAAGTTCTGGGCCAACGGATGGATCTGCTCGCATGTCGTAGCGGCGATGGCACGAAAGAAGCAGTTCGTCTTGAGTGTGGTCATGGCAACTTTGCCGACAACTATGCTGAGCGGAGGACAGCGCAAGATTCCAGGCGCATTGTACGCTGATGATCCGAACAACCGTACGCTCACAGTGCCCTCACTGATCAGGCGTATGATGAAGCAGCCTCATTTTTATTACCCCCACGGATGGAAGATTGCAAAAGAGATGACCATGGAGATCAACGGGGAAGAGGAGGAACTGTTTGCAGTGGGGAAAATCCGATCTTACTCGCAAAACGGAGGCATCTACAAATGGCTGGTCGTCTTCGAACATGGCGTCAACGAGTTTTTCGAATTCGAAGAACTCGCACAGCTCATCGTGTCTTCTAGGCAATCTTTCCGGCCTCCAGGCTTTGTTCAGAAGTTTGTCAAGCGTGGCCCAATTTGCCAGTAGCATCACCGCATCATCTTCCTTCGTGTGCGGCCGAGAGAACAACACGGTCACCAAAAGTGATGCCGTGGAGGAGATCCTTCTAGACCGAAGCGCTGTTGCACTGGTAGTAAAAGGCGCCGGTTTGGGCATGCCAAGTATGTGGGGTAGCGAACCGGCACATGTCATGGTTTATGCGGCGTATCTGCATCTGGCTGCTGATTGCAGCGCACTCGAAGGTGTTGAGAGGAGTCTATCGCTGTGCCGGGCATGGATCCGCGAAGATCAAGACAAGAGCTTGATGCTGAAGCTTAACCCCAGTGAAATTTATCCTACGAAAAAGGATCAAATCCGTTGTTGATGTGGCATACATAGGACGTTTTATCCTAGCGAGGATAAAAAGTGACTTGGCGTTTGTAAAGGGAGGCATCTCCAATCTTATCTGTGGTGTCGCTTTTGACAAAACGAATAAGATTCTAGAGGTATTCAGAGCGATACTCAACTCAAGTCTGAAGCCCATTTTTATCCTAGCGGATAGGATAAATCTGGATTTTTGATAAGGTTTTAGAGACACTTTTCAGGCGGCATTGTCGAACTGATGGACAATGAGAGACACCAAGTGGACACTTGCATCTTACAGAGGAAAGAGTAGGTTTTGTGTGTCTACGTTTAGATACTCGTATTTGCCAGCAGTCATTTCAGTAACGAGAGCTAAACTTTTGATCCTTTCTTTTATCCTACGGCCAGGCTCACTGAGGTTAAGAAGATGGGAAATCAAATGAGTTGGAGGCAATAAAATTGATTTTTGTTGTCGTTTTTGAAGTTCTAGTTCACTGTGTAGCTACATCTAGCTCCTTGCCTCACTTACGAATGATGTGCAATATGAATTGAGAGCACGTATTCACTGTCTGGAGTTGCACTCAGACACTTATGTGTCAGTTCTCCTCGGTGATGACCTCTGTAGTGGCGACCGGGGGGAACGGCACTGCAAGCAACATCCAGCCCCGATTGCCTAGAAGACACGATGAGCTGTGCGAGTTCTTCGAATTCGAAAAACTCGTTGACGCCATGTTCGAAGACGACCAGCCATTTGTAGATGCCTCCGTTTTGCGAGTAAGATCGGATTTTCCCCACTGCAAACAGTTCCTCCTCTTCCCCGTTGATCTCCATGGTCATCTCTTTTGCAATCTTCCATCCGTGGGGGTAATAAAAATGAGGCTGCTTCATCATACGCCTGATCAGTGAGGGCACTGTGAGCGTACGGTTGTTCGGATCATCAGCGTACAATGCGCCTGGAATCTTGCGCTGTCCTCCGCTCAGCATAGTTGTCGGCAAAGTTGCCATGACCACACTCAAGACGAACTGCTTCTTTCGTGCCATCGCCGCTACGACATGCGAGCAGATCCATCCGTTGGCCCAGAACTTCTTGCAGTCACACCTGAACAGCGCCCGGATTTGCTCGATTTGCTTCCGACGATAACTGGTTCGAGTGTAAACGTGAAGTCGTTGACCGCTGATACATCAAGTACCTCCACTTCGTGCAGCGAGAAATAGTGGAGATTGATGTCACGCACTGTGTGCTCGTCAGGAAGCTTCCCTTGTTTTGCAGCGATGTTACATTTTCACGCGATCATTGTTGACTTCGGTGGCGGGTCCGTCTTTCGACTCCATGTATTAGTTGGATGCGTTGAAAAGATACGAAGTGATGCGTCATTTGTGGCCCACGGCTTCACGTTTCTCGTAGAAACTCCCATCCGCGATATGTTGCTGCGCTCTGTGGATTATCTCGCTTGGTATCGGTCCTTCGCAATAGTGCCCGATGCTGCGTCGCCGCTCACGAGATCGAGAATCCCGGGGATAGAATCGTTCAAGGCCACACCCGTCTTGGCCCTCTTTGCGGTCACTCCACAGGTCTTAATCACTCGGTTATGGGCTTCTAGCGGGTTTTGGGAGGGCACGACACCTGGAATACGCTTGTAGCATACCATCGAGTCCAGTCGTCTTCAAGGCAGACCTTGGTGAACCAATCAACGTCTTCATCTACAACGCCACTGTGCATGCACAGGCGACTCAGATTTACTTGGTGCATCCGCCGATGCGAACTTCGCACCACGCTATTTCCCACCGTTTGGTGCGTAAAAAATCGAATACTCGGAAAACGACAAAAACCACTCGAAAAGCAACTCGACCCCCTTGGTCGTTTCTTGGCTTCGCCCTCTGCAATCGTCTCGCCCCCTTCTTGCTGCTTCTTAATCACCTTCCACAACCGCTCTACGTCCTGCATGGTGAGCGCGGTGCTGTTGCGGATCACGAGCTCGTCGTCGAAGCCGAAAGTCTTGCACCTCAGCTCCACCTTGCGCTGCTCGCCGTCCAGACCCAGCAGTCGCCCATTGTGTTCTGCATGACCAGGGGCTGGTTACTGACAATCTTGTTCTGCGCGTTCAGAGCTCGAGCCAGCCAAGCCAGATCGGTCACATCGGGCACGCTTCGATCACCTTGCAAAACACCACTGCCGACGGGTAGAGAGCTTTGCAATGGGCAAAGAGTGTTTCGCGATAACGTCCAAGTCGTCGAAGGGCACGGACGTCTGCGGGTCGTAGAGGATCGACATCTCCTTCGCACCCCACATGATCTTGTGCTCGCCAGCGCCGTTAGCAGCGTCTCCAGGAGGTGTGCAGCTGACCTTGTGGTCCTTCCAGTGGCCTCGCTAGCATTACGCGTCGCAGTAGAAGGTGCACTTGCATCGTGTGCAGCGCTTGAGCTCGTTGCCGGGGGCAGCGCGTTTGCCGCACTTGGCACAACGACGCAGCTCCGGGTTCTCTCCATGAGTGCAAGCTTCTCGCCAGGAGGCAGCACGCGGCGCTCGAGATCAGCGCGCGTGTAAAAAAAAAAACGGCGTCAAGCAGCGGATATTGTCGCCACCTTCGCCGTTCAGTTCACTGCCCGTGTGCGCGCTGATGGCGAACGAGAAGACAGTGCCTCGGCCAACCTGGCGACGCGCATCCAGCCGCAGCTCGCCCTCCCCACAGCGTCCACCTGAATGGCCTGGCGTTCGGCGAGAGGCAGTTCCACGGCTTCAGTTTGGCGTATTTATCGCAGGCCGAGTAGAAGGCGGACAGTGCCTCAGTCGTGACTCCAGCGCCCGAAACCAGTCCAGGACGCTCGCTCACTTCCACCACGGACACAAGGTCCTTCCAAATCAAGTGCTGCGAGAGCTCCTAAGAAATAAGTAACAAAACACAGCGTCAGCATCAGTACAGCCCCCACCGACTTGCAATCCAGACCAAAAACGTACTGAAAATGAGCATCGATGCCGTCCGAATCGGAGAGGTACGAGCACTCGATCCCCAATGCCGAGTAGCTCTTCCGCAGTTGCCCCCACAAAGTTCTTGTCCGGGAACACGACCTTGTCAGGGCGGGCGCTAACTGGTATTTTGACAATCCTCTAACCGGTATCCTGGAAAGTTGACTTTTGACACGCTTCAAGTTCTGGTGAAGAGACCTTAGTAAGTCTTTTTGAAAATGGCTGTTGATACGGCCCATGTTTTCTAAACGGGATAGGGCGCTAAGAACCCTCTGAAGACCAACCCAGCGTTGAGCAGGGAATACCATGGCCAGCCACAGCACTGGGGTGAAGTTTGCAGGCTCTTCGTGCATCTCAAATGCCACTGGTGTCCATTTTGCTCAGACGCTCCCGATAGATTTGAGTCAATTTCACCCTATCTTTTCCGTTTAAAAATACCTAAGTCGCCAAAACAATTTTTACAAATATTAGTTAATAGTTAAGGCAGATGAAAGCTTACTGACTTTTGGTGTGTATGTTTTTTTCTGTCATATACGTAATTAGTTGATTTAACAAATCAGCTGATATTGATAGGCGTTTTATACTATAGATAGGCATTTTAGATGTTTCTTAAAATACTGCTCAAAATTTCTACTCTCCGTTTTATCATACCCCATTCCGTGAAAGTGAGCTGATTAGTGTGTTGTCCTCAAACATAGCCCATTCCAGAAATTCTGTTTCAAAACAAATATTTTATCGAAGAAGTTTTGGTAGTGATTGTGTATCGTGCTGCACGATATATACTTAAGCGAAACGTCTGGGGGCGTATTAGCAAAACATCTCCTAATATGAGGGGTGTTGGCCACAGTAATGAAGTATTACAATATCTTACATGTCTTACAATATTAGGGGACCTGGGCCATGAGGCCCGGAGATTCGCAGTTCTCTTTGAGAAATACTTCAAGTAACTAGGAACAACGACAAGAAGAAAAATGCATTGTGGTCGTAGAAGAAGGAGGAGAGCGCTCCCTCGACGGTTTTTTGCTAAATGATGGCACTATCGTATCTGGTAAATCTCGACAAATGGTATTCAACAGCCCGCTCATCATGGATGGAGGCAAGGCAGGCGTAGCGGCGGTCACTGAGCTTGGGCCGCAACCACATTTATCTACGCGCCATATTGCTGTGAATCCGAAAAAATGTTCTAGGGGCACCCTTAATCTGGAGTCCGAACTTTACCTCATCCAGTACGAGGAATCAGTAGAGTTAGGAGTCGTTAGTGGTGTAGTTTGGCATCAACAACGTAGTCAAGTGCTATACGGCTAGCACTTACAGCGAGTTGTACGACGTAGAACACGATCACAAATTTAAGCCACTGTTACCGTGAGATATTAAGAGGAACTCCCATGTACTTGAACCTGCCCCAACAATGTCGGGCCATCAAAAGAAGCCGTTTGCCAGTACTGGTAAAACACGAAGTCGTGCGGCAGCAAAAGAATGACGCTATGGGGTCTGCACACCGGCGAAGCGTGATCGGACAATTACGTCATTGCCATTAATTCTTAGATAGTGTCATCCTTTGGCGAATGTGAACAACATTTGTCTACACTGTAGATTTATCAGATAGTGCCATTATCCGGTAAGAACCCTGCAAACCCTAAAGTTAATACTTCTAGGCATGAATGTTTCTCACAAAGAAAAAAAACCGAAGCAAGTGCACACACTCGGCGTCTGCGAAGCACCAGAGTTGATCTAGGCTCGAGCCAGCCTACGCCTGTGACTCGGCAGTAGCGTCAAATACCAGGTCGATTAGCTGCCTTTATTGACCTGATCAACTCCAGAACCATTGACCGCATAAACCTGAAGATTATAACATACAGCAGGCGGTCTTTGTCATACCTGAAAATACAACTCGGTCAGCGCTAAATACATTCTTCTGTCAGGAAACGGCAATAATGCCTCCTACGGATCGGTGATTTCATCCGCGTGCTTCGCTCGCTTTGTGCTGACGGTCTGATCTACTTAAAAGTTGTCCCCCATAAAAGAATATACTTGAACTTGAACTGTTTTATTCCTCTAAAACGTTTACACTGGTGAGGAGCCGCAAAACGGAAGTTTAGGCACACGGGGGAAGATGCAATTTGCTGAAGAACCATGCCATAAATGTTGCATGGTGTTCGATCTCGTTTGATCGTGCAAATGACATCGAAAGGGCTCAAGTATGGACTTGATCGTGGTCTAAAAAAGAGAGTTCCGAATGCAACCGGTGCTCGATATGATGCTAGCGTATCCTGGCGTGCTGGGTGAGGAGAGTCTTCCATTTCGTTTGGCTGCCGGTATTTCCTACTAGTAGTGTACTCCACAAACATGTTAGCGACAGAATGCTCTAACCCAAAGCTGCTTTCAAATGCGTTTGTATGTTTGAGCTCGATGACTACTGTAGAGTTCATTTATATTTGATTAAAAAAGCTCCCCGAGTGAATTGGTGCTGGCATATTCCACGTACCACGCAGGAAACCCGTCGAAGTGATGAGACAATCAGGTCATTCTGCATTTGCAGCCAAATAGTGTCCCTTACATCACTTGCTACTGTGAAGAGGTTTCTCTTCACGATGGTAACATTCCTCCATCTGAGCCATTCTCCACAAAAACCGCATTTCAGGCACACCAGCAATGTTGCAGGATATCAATACTGACAACATGCTCACCTCACGCAACTTAAAAACGCTGGCCGTTATATTGCAGGATGTCAATGCTGCAAACTTTTCTGGGGCGGCCTAACACAGTTCTTCGAACTGCGAAGAACTGCGAATAAAATTCACTCAATGAAAATCTATGCGCAGCTGTAACGAGGTAAAAAAAATGCAGGAGTTATAAACACAACAAGAACACAGCATCTAGGGATAGTGAGCTTTTTTTAAACTGTGGGTCCAGACGATCCCTCGCTAGTAATCCCTAGGTAAAGAATACCCGCTCATCAGGAATATAAATGTGGCTCCCAACGATTTCTGAATGCCCGTCCTATACAAAGCCAAGTAATTATTCCCCCTCCCCCTCAATCGTAATAAGGAATAGAAAATCATAGAATATGAATGTTCTATGGCAAAAGTCCACTTTGTACAGGACGTCTGGAGTAGTCGACCAGGACACCTGCTCCTGTCGTCTGTGTTTCCTTGCCGAATTCCAGTTAACGATTGCATTGGCTTTCGGAACTTTATTATACACCTTTTAGTGTCGTTCGTTCAAATACAAAGGAGCTGGGAGCTTGTCAACATTAGTGAAATGGGGCACAACAGTATCATGCCAAATTAGTTTGCTCTCAGTATCATTACCTGCATCGTGTCTAACATCTATTACGGCATTAAACTCAAATAGACTTTATCCTGCTCGATGTTACCGAACGACGGTAGCGACGAAGGGATACATCGTTATCTGCATTAATTCCCTGCCCCCTCATCGATTTAAGCGCTATGCAACCAAAAGACTGCACCAATTTGTACCATGTATGTGGTACAATAATGTGTACCACCCCAATGGTACACCCTACGACAAGAATACCCTCACCTAGGAATAAAAAGTGGCGACGCCATGACTACCGAGGGGATTGTCTGTGGATAATGCAAACACAATGTAAGTAATTTTTAAAAGCTGTAACGTATAATATCGAAAAGAGTTCCCCTAGCTGATAGAGCGCCCTTCAAATAGAGCGCTGTAAAACAGCGCGCTCTATAAAAATAATGTGCTATAAAATTGAGTGCGCTCAGTACTAACAAGTGGAGTGAAACACGAAATTCCAAACTGCACAAATAACCATACAAAGAGTAAAACAAAGTGTTGATGTCCTTTAACATTTCGTGTATATTTTTGACTTCGCAGTTGCAAATGTTGCGAAGTCGGCAAACTGCACGCATTGGTGTGGTCCAAAATTTAATACGATACCATTATTTATGATAAATCCAACCGAAAAAATGAGGGGGCATATACTAGCTGATTCAAAGTAATAAAACCATGTGTTTGTTGAGTTTACTTGTGGCCTGAACGAAGCCAAGGTATATAGTCATAGTAAGGATGTCGCTGCAGAACCTTCGTGTTTGTACTTTTAAGGAAAACTTACAAAAAATGAGTCCTTTAGTGACCAATCAGTGCGCTTCTGGTACTCCAGTGCTGCAACACAGCCTAGAATGTGCGGGTATAGGGTATGAGTGCAGGGAAATGTACTCGGGGGACTGCTCAACCTTTGGTACTTAGAAATAGAGTGCGGATGAAATAAAGTGCGCAATTTTCATTTTGCGCCGTCCTTTATTCCATATTATACGTTAGCTCAGTTCGTTTCTGGCCAAAAGCCTTTACCACGAGGTGGGGTACTATTTGTTGGGGCGAAGCTCCCCTCTATAATTAAATCGCTACTTTCTTTCGATGAATTTATGGATAGGGCTATGGAAAGGTTTAATGGTTACCTTTCCCAGGAGCAAAATTGCTGCATTTTACCTCTGTATAAGATCATTTCAGGCTCGATGTCCGACTGTTCCAAGCGACTATTCATAGAGGTACAGGGATTCAGCCTCCAGCAAAGGGTGCGAAAGCCATTAAACTGAGGCCCGTCTTTTAAGAGACCTCTTCCAAATAGAGGATGTATGGGCTGTGGGCCTTCTAAAGTGGATTTGGCTTAAAACTGCGTTATTTTAGTATAAGGTGTACTCTGCTTTGCAGAACTATTTACCCTGTTTTAGCGTCGTGTTGCACGGAAATCAGGGTAAGTGCGCTCGTGGGAGGTCTAATTAGAATAGCTCCAAGCTGTTAGCTATTGCATGCCGCAGGTGGCGGGTGGCACCGCTCACCCTGCCGTCACCTCACGCATTCGGCACGCCTCCCCCAGGACCACCGTCGGATGCGGCCAGGTCGGTTGGCACACTGGGAGCAGGACACACGCGCACAGAGCAAGAGGTAGTGGCGACGGCGTGGATTTGGACGATGGCCTGACACAATCTTAGGACCAGCACGCTCACGAACGCTCTGCGTAGACCCCCTCCCTCCCAGCCATGCGCGGCAGCCGCAGCGCCTC